CGTCTGAAGGCACGGAAGTTAAAACTTATCAGTCTACAGCATTTATCCCGAGCTTTAATGCTCACCCTTCATATGTGCTTAAGACACTGAAGCGTAAGAAACGTGCAGTCGACCACCACGGACCTACTGGACTCAAGCCCAAAACTCACAGGGTAACCGAGAACGCTTAGCTTCTCCGCCTGAGAAACATTAACTATAAGTTATGCTACTTAATGTTTTCGACCCGTTCTTCCTTTCTCGCTTTTTGATCCAATATCAGCTTGAGTGGGCATCTTGCTTCTCGTGGGTCTCAAAGCAGGGTTGGGGCTGTGTAATAAGCCGGGCCTCCACATTAGACTCTACGTTATAAACGTACTCTTAAGCAGTACGTAAATTATAAACGTACTCTTAATAGTACGAGGAACTTAAGTTTCCTAAATGGTTTTTAATGCTTTTATTAATTAATACCTTTTCCATTTTACATACCAGATATTTGGACGAGGCCATTACAAGGCCTCAGTAAAATACCAAACATATGGGTTGGTCTAGTTCTATTAATAGAACTATATTTACTTTCCAACTTTATTTATATCTGAATACTTCAGTAACGAGATGGCTCAACCGAATATAGGTTTCTAGGGACTATTAACGTTACCTAGTTGATCCTCCGATCAGCCAACCAGATGTGCCAGCCTGATGAGGGCTAAGTCGGTAATATTGATAGGGATAATATTGTTTATTTCAAAAATGGCAAGTATGTATGATACAATGTACTATTGATAGTGGCAAGTTATTGGTTAAGACAATAACTAAGGACATCAAGAGTATTTTTTATTTTTTTTCTTCTAAAGATAGGATTTTAAGAGTCTCTCGGATTCGCCCCAATGAAACATACCATAGTGTCTAATAGAGCGACAACGAAACACTAAATAAAATCCCTTCGGCGGAAACAGTACTGAGAGGATTATATATAGGCAATGTCTCAGCCTCACAATCCCTCAGAGTATTGCTGTTTTCACGAGGCATACCTAACTTTACTAAACGTCTCATTTCGTTTTTACTTTGATATTTTCACGATACTTAGAATTTACCTACGCGTTTATTTACTCTAAGGCGTTAATATCGCCTTAATAGACCGAATCTTACACTATTGGCACATCCTCCGAGTCATCTTCCCCTTATTCACCATGACTTTGATCCTTCGCTGCGGCTTGCTGTTTCTTCCGCTGCTTAGTAGGTCTCAATTCATGTACCATTGGTTGGTAGTTCTTCAGGAAGGTTCTCCTATCCCTTGCTATCATATGGTAAGTAGGATCTTGCCTACGTGCTGTGCGCGTGTCCACTGGTGGGGATGATACATCTGATTCCAGTGCATGTCGCACTTTCTCTGAAGTTGAATTTTCCGAGGATTGCGTTTTCTCGGCTTTTCCCTTTTGAGATTTCGCCTTCTTCGCTGGCGGCTTCTGTGGCTTCGTAGTCACGTTACCTCCGGATGCACCTACACACGAGTCAACCAACTACTTACATTTCTGTTTAATCAGAGTTGGTGCCGGTTGTACCGGCGTGATCTCAGTTGCTTCAGCTTTTACTGATAGTACCGGGGGTGTTTTCTGCTTTTCTTCACCTACAGCAAACCCTTTCGCGTTTGCAGCCTTAGCTACATTCGCTGCCTTATTTTTTCCTTTCGTTATAATATCGATAGCGTATTTAAACTTAAACATATGTAAAAGTCGGTCTCCTCTAGGCTGTTTACGTTACTAAGACAATACGTTAATACGTTAAAAATTAAAATGCTAAATAAGTTTAGCTTCAGCCCTTGGTAATGAGAAAAAGAATAGGGAATTTTAGACTGAGACTATTGTCTATATGCTCCGCTCTAATCACTCACTACTTCGGTCTAGATTTATTTATGTTTTAGTTAATAAGACTAGATATCACTTCATTGGACGCATAGTTTACAGTTCACGCCTCGAAACAATCACCCAATCAAACTAACCAATAAAATACCTCTAAGTCCAACTTGAGAAAATAAAAAATAAATTAGTGAGTAAGTTCGAAGAATTTTCTGCTCTGTTGGTAAGCAGATCAGAAAGTTTAGTCACATAGGAAGCAGGTGGCAAATAAGAAATTTCATATCCATCCGGGTTTGTAGTCACCTGAGGAAATCCTTTCCCGTTTATCTCGTGTGTTCTTATGTAAACGCTTATTCCATTTCCTAATAAATATACGAAGGAAGTCGCGAGATTCACGAAACGCATCGGAGGTTAGCCAAGCTACTGTCCCATCCATAAAACGGTTCTTGTAGTAAGTGTAACCGTCTTCGGATGTTTGTCAATTATATCTTTGACTTGTGACTCCATAACTGAGACATCAGAATCAAATGAGCGAGCGAATGAGAGTTCGGAGGTAGGGATACGGTGAGTGTCTAGATTAGTTGAGCTAGTACCATCTATGTTATTCACTTCGTAAGTATCACTCTTCCCATCATGGTAAGAAATAACAAAAGGTCCAATTATCGTAGAAGAGAGTTCGGTAACGTTGGCATTGCGATTTTCAATAGTAACATAATCGCCAACTTTGGATTGAACATTGTTCTTAGTGTTATTCCATCGGTCATACGCTTTAAGTAGGACACGATTTTTGTGCTCGAGTAAACAGGGGTAAACAACGTTCTGCATTTGCTCGATCTTTTGTAGCCACGGAGTTACGTGTTTCTCGGGCGCAGTTTTGTCAAACGTTGCTTGTCATTCACTATAGCGGCCAAAGAAATAGTGAAATGGGAGTGTTCCAGTCTGAGGATTCATGCAGTTATTCATTCGAGTCTGAACCCATTTTAAATGAAAAGGCCACTTATCCTCAGCGTCATCTAGTGCGGTACGCAATAGCTTCTTCAGTTCTCTATGACATGTTTCATTTGCACCCTGCGTGTGAGGTTTATAAGGAACACCACGCCTATGGGTCATCTAAAACCCTAAACCCTAAATCGGTACAAAACTCTCTACCGTTATCAGAACATAGTACTCGGAGGAAACCGAAGTCATTAAAGACGTGATAGCATAACTCTGCCACTGTTTGCGGGCGTTTGCTCGGTATTGCATAAAGCAAGTTACAGCCCGGAGCCACACATAAGAAAAGACAGATATATACATCGCCAGTATGCTTGGATCGCGGGAGTTTAATCAAATCGACTATGACTCGGCGCATCGATTGGTCTTCTGTCACACTTTTTAGGGGTGCCCAACCGTAGCGCTCGATCTGGTTCTTTTCACAATCAGTACAGCGTCGGTATACTTCACGTATGGTTCCTTTCAGCGCCGGGTGATCAAGCCCTGCACGAATAGCCATCTTATAAAGTATGCTCATATGCTCGATGAGTTAAATTACTTTTTTTAACTTCTACTCACGAGCTCTTCTGAGTCAATCAGATTCTGTGTAGCGCTGGCTGGATGA